ATTATGATCATTCACAAGTTTCTTGGAAGGATTTGGCCGACTTATACATATTGTAAGGAGAGTATTAAAGTAGTCGGGTCTAATCCAGGTATAGAGTTATCTTCCTCAATATCCTGAGGCTTATAGGTCACATCCGGGTACCTTGCTTTTTTTTTTTTTGCTTCCTGACATCCCATGATTGCAGTCATAAGCCATCAGAATTCAGCCATTCGGTTTTCCTTTCTGGTTTTAAAAGGTTGAACTAAGCCTCTACTTAATACCCCTGTTTTGTTTATCAAATAAAACAAACCTGTGACTATGGTGCAATGTCCCCTGCAGCCTTTGGAGGCTGAAGCTACGAAAAGGGATTTCTTTTCCTGTCCTATGGAATATTGTTTGGCTCATTTGCATAGATCAGCTATTTTGCTGGGCACTACATTTTCACACATTGTACTGGCCCAACTTATACTGTGGAACTGTGGAAGGTGATTGGTAGATCATCTAGTACTTTTAGTCGTTGGTAACTTACCAACTCCTTCCAGAGCAAAATTTTTAAATCTCCACCCCAAGACTTCCTGCTGTAGAAAGTTTATAGAGGCTGCCTGGTTCACACAACATGCTAAACTAGATTCAAATGAAGTTAGATAATTTATACTTCAATGTTTTGTGGAAATTTAGCCACTGTCTTACCATGTTGTGTTAGCCAAGCAATCCTGCTAAGCCATAATTTGTTTGCATGATGTGCCACGTGAATGCAGCGCTTATGTTTTGTTAACCTGATTTTAGCGTGTGGTGTGAACCTAATCAGGTAATAGTGATAATGAAATTGCTTCTGAATGTCTGAATGTGTCTTCCTAAACCATATCTATTTCTTGCATGTGTCTTGCAACTAAGAGGTTCCATAATAGCGTACATGTCTCCCCCACTTGATACACTCACTCATTTTATTTTTACAACAAACCTGTAAAATTAAGTTAACAAATAATAAGTGATAATAGATAGCTGGAACCCAAACAACTACTATACCTCACTGCAGAACTATTAATCATTAATCTTCAGACTCATTCTGCTGTTCTTGTTTAGTTGCTATCTGATCCACAAGGCAAAATCAGAAAAGCCATCCAGAACCAGGAGAATAGCTCCTTAGTATGATTAAGATCCTATCACAAACTTTTTAGAAAGAAGATAGTAAAGAAAACATGGAAAACGGGGGCCTTCCTCATCCAGGAGATCCAGAGACCTGTGCTCCTTCCCTGTCCTTGCACATCATTGTTCCCAATCAGAACTATTGTCCTTGAAGACCGTTGAAGAGTTAAACTGCAGCCAGGCAGCAAGTTGGCTTCAAGCCAAGTATCTTCCACCTGTCCTAGTATCGGTCATGTGCTCTGGGTGTTGCAATCACACAAACCTATTCTTCGTGCTCAAGTGAGTTGCGTAGAACAGTCCTTCGTTGCCCTGGTGAGCCCGACCATCCTTGTTGCCAGCCTCTGAATCCTCCTAAGAGTATGCTGCCAAAAACTGACATACTACTTGAAGGTGGCAGCTGGGAAGAGTGTTAACTAACACCAGAAGAAGTTGAACTATTACTTTCTGGGGTTCGGAAATCATACTTACATTCATACAGCCTAAAACTGCATTTGCCTTTTTTGTAGCCACGTTACACTGCTGATTTGTATTCTGTTTGCAACAATTGCTATTCCATCTGGACGCCTATTTATTAAAGGCAAAAAACATTAAATAATGCCTTAGCTTTAGATTTTTTTTTTTTAAAAGAGGCTTCTGATTGTATGCAAAATAATGCTTCCCATACGCCAACTTTCCTGCAAGCAGGGGTGTCTTCAAAGTGTGGTAAAAAAGTCAAGATGGTGGCCGCGGTGATGCAACTGAAGCTCCAATGATTTGTTAGAACGTCGCCAGGGCATAAAAAACAGGTGGAGCTTTGGGGTCACCAAAATATAGAATGGAGTTAGGCTTAGAAACTTTTCTTGCATGAGATTTGGGCACAGAATTTCCTAGTCTATCATTCAGCCTCTTCACCAACATATCGTGTGTTGGCAGATCTATTGCAGTTGTCTACTAATGGATTATTAAGTCACGTCAGAGATTCTTGCAAAAGATACTGGATGAGGTGATTCTTGTCTAGATCCTGGTTATATATTTTTTATATCTTTACACAAGAATCAAATCAAAAGTTGATTTAATACTGATGTACTATTCCTTATTTGTAAGAGATCCTAAGTCTGCATCCTTCCTAAGTTTAAAATGCTTTGGCGGGCCACAGGAATTTCAGAAAGGGAAATAGAAACGTTAGGGGAATTCCTCTGATTATTATAAAACACTACATTTGTTCTCATATCAAACACTGTAACCTGTTCCAAAAGGCCCCACCTTTATCATAAAAAGTACATCATGAGCTAAACTCTTTTAACATCAGCAATTAAAAGCCAATAAAAAAAAAACGGCAGTTCTTTGGCTCCAACTCAAGAGTTTTCTCAGAGAGTAAATCCAAAACAAAGCAAGAACGAAACCTTTCAGTGTGCAGAAATACAGCATGGATGGACTGGGTATGACGATGGCTCTCAATTCTTCTGGAACAAAGAGTGGGGTGGGGAGAGGCAGCAGAAAAAGAGAGAATGATGCCAAACAGCTAGGATAAGCAGGTAGAGTAATCTTATGATTTCTGGCAACTTGCATTCCACTTAATGGGGCATCAACTTATACAAAATTA